CTCTTTAAAAGTCGATTCGCTTAGCCATTAAACCGGTCGCTTTTGTCAGCCTGCCGGCCTATACGCACTCGCACATGCATGCACACGTACACGCACGCGCACGCACGCGGAACGAACGGTCGCCAGGCCATAAGTACGCGGAGCAAACGCCGAGTATTACTCATTTCCACGCACTACGTGACGGACTAATTCCCGTCTAATTGAAAGTGGCGATTAATCAATCATTTCGGCGGAAAATAGCTCGCGCGATGATTATTAGCGCTCGATTAACGTGCAAATACTGTATTTCGAGGAATTCCGTTATTGTCGCCTCTCGACGATGTTCATTCGTGCGCGGAGAGGGACTCATGGCGACTGATTCCTCACTTTTCCCATCATTCTGCGAACAAAACTCCATTGTTTTATGAGAATTTCAAGGAAACTGGAATTTCTAAATATATATTTTTTAATATATTCTATCTTGAATCTTAAATTTTTTAATTTATCACTCGATTATCAATGGTCACGTTTGGCAGAATGTTTATTTTGCAACTGTTAGGAATTTTCTTCATCAAGAAAGATTACTCCTCTGAATTAGAAGGTTCGTCCTCTAAACTCAAAGAACAAAAATAATTAAAACAGCTTAAACGGATTTTTTGAATATTCACAAGAAATTAATTTTGAAGACAAAGAAAAAAGAAAGAATTGGAAGTAAAAAAGTTTTATAGAAAGTTTTATAGAAAGATTTCTGAGAATCCAAAATGATTAATGTTTAAGTTTTTCCAGAAGAATCAGTTTACAATTTTTAGAGAAAAATAAACTAAACTAAATATGATTTTGTGATTTGTTAGTAATTACTTAAAAATAACAGTATAAAACAAAAAAAATTCAGTATAACAGTATAAAACAAAAAAATTCAATAGTTCACACCACTCAACTACCCTTCTTCCTCTCGGATCCAAAAGTCTAAAAACTCAAATTTGGCTTCTCTTAAATAAAGTCCTGCCTACGCCTATGATTATTCCACCAAATCTACAAGTATCCAATCTGCGCGAAAAAATGTCAATAATCGAAAAATAAACAAGCTAAAGATTTGAAAAGTAAACGAAATAAGCAAAGTAAACATTCTGCTGAATGCGATCAATATTTGCGATTGCAAGTTAAACAAAGATAGCTAATTCTAAATCGATTACGAATAATCATAGCATTGGTTATTTTCCTCATATTATTCACTGTGCTTTAAAACGATTTCAGAGACGAGTCACAAACACGACAAAAAGTGGGCGTTTGTACGATACGAAACGTTATCTGAGCGTCGTTAACCTTTTCAATATTCAAGGAATGGCATTGTGCATATAATAATAAACGATAAATAACCCTTAATGTACACGATTGGATTATTCGTGTCCTGCACATTTCTTTTCTTCAAAAAATAAAAAGCATCAAGTAATTAGTTATAATATTTATATAGAATTTATATTTTTTTAAATGCACCACCTTACAAATATATTTTCTAAAAGTGTTAAAATATATGTATGTAAGAATAATAGTTATATATTTATTAAAGTCACGAAAATTAATTCGGGACATGAATGACCCATCGTGTCTAATAAAAGAAAAACCGAAAAATTACATACTAAAGATTAATAATAAATGAAAATCAGGTGAGAGAGACGACTATTCTTCAGATAGCCAAAATACACATGTTTACTGGATTATCGATCGCTTGATGGGATCCGTTAAATTTGGTTAAATTCTCTTTTGTCATCTGATCGATTAAAAAGAGACGAGCAGATGCACGAAAATAATGCAGCCTCTATGTAAAAGTGTTTCTGACATTTGAAGGTACTCGCGAATGTTTCCACGGACGTCCTTGGATCAGTTCGCCGTGCGCAACATCAGAAATTCAATCTGATCGCGTGAGGCCGCTTACACTATCGCTTTACGATTACGTCGCGCATTTGCACAGAGGCCTTTCGTTCAATTCCGTCAAATACCGATAATGTATTTTCGATCCCATCCTTCCCGTGGAATTTCTGTGAGCGTGCGAAACAAAAACATGACTCGAGAACACGCGCGAGATAAACACAGGAGTAAGTAAACAGATTCAGAGCCAGGTACAATTCCGGATTTTGATTACTTGCTACCTTCCTGCCGGAGATCGATTGTCTATAAAAATTACAGGTATTTTCCGATATAAGACAGGCTTTCCTTTTGAGAGATATAATCAGCACAAATGTCGTTCTATCTTTGTTATTCATTGAATGTCAAGAAAGAAAGAACGACATTTGTATCGAGCAGTTGTAGTATAAAGTATAGAGTTTCCAAACATGAAAAAAAAAGAAGAGAAAATAAACTGTACAAGAAATTCAGCTAAAAAGGATGGGCCAATAAATTAAGCTGTTTTCCTTTTAAGAGACACAAATGACAATTGACACAAGTTCGTTTTATCTTTGTTATTTATTAAAAATCAAGAAAAGGATAATACGACGTTTGTATCGATTATGTATCCCTTAAAAGGAAGCAGGACATTCTATAATAAAATCTGATCTCGAAACGAGCTTTTGTCAATTTTAGTAAGTCCGAATAAATAAGATAGATGATCTATTCTCATCACTCCGTATAGCTTAGACAGAGTTCAATCAAATCTACATAATATGTATTAAAAAGTGATTAATTGTGAATATTATAATATCATCCAAAGTTTCATGATGATGAGATTTGGCAATTGTGTGGATTACACTAGTTTTGGCAACTTGTGAGTGACCCTACTTTGACCGCAAGTCTTATATGGATTACTGATGAATATTGCTGATGAAGATTTCAAAGAGAATCGAAACATTCGAAATTTATCAAGATTTTAAATAAGAAGACATCAACGCATTGAATGGAGTAACAAATTTATTTTATTGCACACTTCCGCTCGCGTTTATAATAACTCATTAGTTCGGATTAATTTTGTGTTTGTTTTGAAGAAAAAGAGATAGCCCTTGTTTAACATATTTATAAATAAGACAGTATAAGTTAGAATAAGATAAAAAGAGATAGTATATATATCATATAGACACAAGAGACATAAGAGACAATGTATATCTTTTTATTATAGATTTTTTACATAAGCCATTACCTAAGCTTTAAACCATAAAAAATTGATTATAGTCAATTATTATTCTCACATTCTGTGACCGGTTTCTTATGACTTAAGAATTAAAGTTCGAGTAACGACTCATTATAGAACATGCCTTATTCTTGTTTTGACGAAATTACTGCAGCCAGATTTTGTTTATAGGATACATCTCTATCGGGTACACACCTGGTGCGTCCATTTCGATTCCCGGAACTACGAAAACTTTGTTTCGGTATCGCACACGGCGCAACCACGGGATACCTCGTGGCAAGAATCAAGGGGATCGATTCTGTATCTTGAAATGAAGTGAAAATTATAAAAGTGAGCGAATTTACTAGAATACTGATTATTTCATTGGTCAACACCTAGTAAAGGTGTAAATTTGTTCGCTTTTGTAATTTTCACCTTGTTTGAAGGTGCAGAATCACAGCCGGTCTTTGATCGAAGATCAAACGCAGGACGAACCGGCGGCTAAACAGAGAACGGACGGGAGAAGGCAACCGGACCGGATCGCGAGGACACGCACCTTGCGCGTTACCCTTCCTCGGAAACCGACGACGAAGGAGGACGGTTCGACCTTTGCGCGCGCGTTCTCTCCACCGTTAAGTTAACCGCGCGCTTGTCTCTCCTTGTATAAAAATACCGAAATAGAAAGTCGGAGTCGCGCGCTCCGCTCGATGCTCCTCGAAAGGCATTTTCCACCTTCTTTAGGTGCACACGCGGGCACCCGAGGAAAATTCAAAGGATTCTTTTTTTCTTTCGGAGAAAGCGAGAGAGAGAGAGAGAGACCCGAAAGCGTGCGCACATCACGGTGTGCAATATATGTTATGTTTTCACTTACCGGCCGCGACGGATTGTTATGTTGCTCAGCGACCGACGTTCTTTGGTCGGGCACGTCGCCGCTTTCCACGGAGAACTGTAATCCACCCGCTCGGACGGGCACGCGACTCACCAGTGCGAAGAGTGCGAACTGCGAAGCGTCGCAAAAGTGCGAACGGGGAAATATACGTTTGAGAGCCAGGCGGGATCGGCGTGTGCCACGCCACCTGCCGGAATATTCCTCGCGTCCGCCATCTTGAATTGTCCCGAACGCCATGTTGGCCGGCCACGGCGCCGGTGGTGGTCGGCGGGAAAAGTCAAATGCGCGCAAGAAATCTAGACAGAATATTTGAAATAATATTTGAAATAATATTTGAATTAAAAAGGAATACTTAGAATATTAGATTGAATATTTAATAATAATAAGAGCTATTATTCGTTGAATAAGCAATAAAATAATTTCCACGTTTAGTCGCGTCTTTAAAATTTCGAAAATGCTTAAAACAAGAAATACAAAAATACAATTACGCATGTAATATATAAAAAAGTGTACTTGTTAATAATATCTGCAATGAAGCTTTAAATATTACTAAAAGTTTATTAAAATACTTAATTAATAATAAATGGAAGAAGTATAAAAGTTAAATACAAGCTCTTTAAACAAATTAAACAAGTCTTTTTCCTATACATATATATAATAATATAAAGTATGCTCCTTTTATTTACTATTAATTTTTATCTCAACTTTTACAACTTCGTAAAATTTAGACAGTTGCACCAATGTCACTTTAACTTTAAGCGAGATTTAAAACTCTCTGTCCTATTTTAAAGCCAAAAAGAGATAGAGACAGAAAGAGTTTTAAGTCTCGCTTAAAATCAAAGTAATTGATGCAATCAGGCCTTAATAAACTATTCGAATCTTATATTAAGAGTATTAATAAATATATAGATAATAGAAAAACCTTAAACTATAATCAACTCAATAATTCGAATCTTCGATCCGATACAAATTTGCATGTCCGGTCTCGAATCGTCATTACGCAACTTCAGATGATATTTCCAAGTCCTCCAGAATTCTCCCGCGAGGAAGAAGGCGCATGCCTTCTTCCCCGTTCGAGCACGCAGTGTGGAGACGGCCCTGCTCGCCGCGGCGATACGTTTTTTGATGTCCAACATGGCCACCTGATGTCTAGCAGACGATACACACAGGTGGCATGGGAGAGCTGTAAATAAAATCCACCCTCTAGATTTAATTATGAGCGGACGTGTGCAGAAGGAGAGTGCCGATGATTCCGATCGCGTCGACGATGCAGTGGACCCGCGAGTGCAGGTGAGTGTTGCCGCCGTCCGCGTGTGCGTCGCCCAGACGGAACAACCGCGAGAGGGGAGCCCCTGCGACTCCGCGATATCGACACTCTTGACTCTCGTCGTCGGCAAGAAGAAATCTCGACATGATTAAATCGTCGGAAAGAATCGCGTAGTAGGATGTGCGCTTCAACGGCGAATTTTATCGCGAGTCCCGATGTGTAACGTCGGTCTCATTTTCCTTCGTGAACGTCTTCTACTTTTCCTTCTCCCTCCGCTCGCTCATGCACGCACACACATGCACGAGTCATAAACGTCCCCGATTCTTAATACCCCTTTGTCCCCCACCCGGCTGAGAAGGTCTATTACTACACAGCGCTTGCTAAATTACCCTCGTTGTCCGGTAACTCCGTCTCGAC